GGAGCTCTGTAACCATGGGCAATCACTTAGCGTCTCCGAATCTGCCTTTTATCAGGGCTCCCCAGACTATAAGTGTCTTGAGGGCAGGGATTCGTCTTTGAATCCACAGTCTGGTACATAATAGGCACTCAAACACTTATTTAACAGAACTGAGGTGAATTGAATGTGTGAAAGCACTAAGAAATGTGAATGTTAATATTCTATTGCCCTTGACCAAGGAGTCAGGAAGACTCATCTTCCTGAATTCAAATCTGGCCTCAGATATTTACTAGCTGTGTGACCCTGGGCAAGTCACTTCACCCTGTTTACCTCAGTTTCCTCATCTGTCAAATGAGCTGGAGAAGGAAAACCACTCCAGTATCTTTGCCAAGAAACCCCAAACGGGGTCATGAGGAATCAGACACAACTGAAAAATGACTGAACAACAAGCTTGACCCTTTGGCTCTCCAAGAAGGTCAGCCAGGGACTTATGATCCTAGCCCACTGACCTCTGGCTTCATCTTCATTCATCTGTGAATCAATCAATCAACAAGCATTTATTAAGCACCTACTACGTGTCAGGCACTGTGCTACATATGGTGAAATAAAGGAAGGCAAAAGTAGTGGGCCCTGTAGTCTCCAAGGAAGCGGGGAAGGAGAGAAGGGGGAGGGCTGAATTCCCTTCAAACAGTGTGTGTTTCTTCATCTTCCTACCCCTCTGGCTTTCTCTAGCTGGGCCATGGGATTGTTAAACGGAATAAAGAATGTAGTGTCGAATTCTTACAAAATGCTAACTAGAAAACCCTGACATTGCCTGTGAGCTGGACACACAGGAAACCCGTCAGTGTTTTGATATAAGGCTGTGGTTCTGTGGTCTCAAACCCATTTTGCTGGGGCGGGGGCGTTTGCCACGCAAATGTTAATTGTAAAGGAAACATGAGGATCTTCCAACATAAATCCCACCTATTTGCTTGGTCAGAGCCAAGTTCTGAGCTCAGGGGTGAACTAGAGGTCAGCGAGGACCCAGGGAGACATGGCTGCCTTCATCTGGTCAAACCATCATCCGCTCCCCTCTTCCAGCGGGGGAAGCTAAGAAATCTTCTGCTTCTGTGGCTTGTCGTTAAGAGACGGACAAGATATCCCAAGCCAAGCTTTTCAGTGTTTTCTAGAATCTTGAAAATAGACAGTTTCCTAATGAGTTTTAGAGAAGGTAGTTCAACCTCTTCATTTGGCAGGTGAACAAAGCAGAGGTCCAGGGACTTGTCCAAGGTCACACAGCTAATGAGTGGCAGTGGGTGGAAGAGAGTTCCTTTCTTTGAATTCCCAGCTCAGCCACCTTATTGCTCTTGTACAAAATCACACAGACATCCACACTATAGGAAAGCACTCTCTCCATACAGGATCATCACTTAGAGCTGGGAAAGACCTCAAGGGCTGACCCCCTCATCTTACAGATGAGGAAACTGAGGCCCAACAAGGATACAGGACCACAGACTTGGAACTAGAAAGGACATCAGGGACCCTCTAGCCCATCTTCCTCTCTTTACAGATGAAGAAACTAAAAGCCCAAGGAAGTTAAGGGACTTACCCAAGGTCACACAGGTAGAAAGCATCAGAGTCAGGATTCAGACTCAAGACCTCTGACTCTTTCCTCTGCCTCCTGTATACGTGGTAGAGCCAGAATTCAAGCTCAGCACTTTGACTACAAGGGGCCACTAGGCGGTGCAGGAGGTAGAGCACTGGGCTTAAAATCAGGAGGACTCCTGTTCATGAGTTCAAATCCGGCCTCAGACACTTACTAGCTATATGACCTTGGGCAAATAACTTAACCTTCTCTGGCTTAGTTTCCTCATCTGTAAAATGAACTGGAGAAGGAAATGGCAAACCACTCCAGTAAGTTTGCCAAGAAAACCCCAAATGGGGCCATAGTCAGACATGACTCAACAACAGCTCTGACTACAAATGGTTTTCCCATGCACTAATACGACAAGAAAGTTGGTCAACTCCTATGCAGAGATTCTGGTTTTCAGAGTGGGGGGAGGGGTCGCTGGGAGAATTATACGACCTTAGGATTCAAGAGCTAGAAAGGAGTTCAGAGATTCTCCTCTGAGCACAAGCAGCAATAAGGACGAAACTACCACCAGTATTCCCAAGGTCCCCTGTGTTTGCCCAGTACACCATAATCTTCAGTGAAACGTTCCAGCTTTCCTTGTCCCCACACAAAAAATGAGGAATGGGTAGGGGGAGACAGGAGGATTTTGGGATGCTTAGGGTCCTGTGAAGAGACCAAGCCTCTCCACTGTTTATGACAAGTAGGCGATTGGCCTTAGCCTCCAGATGTTCCTCAGCAGGGCATTGCCAGCCATTGCTGCTTATCTCTTCTTTCTCCGGTCACGGCTGAATGACCTTTCACTCACTGGTACCTGTGAATCCACAGTGTCATTTGTTGGAGTGGAAGAGGCTGGTACTGTCCGAGATGGGCCAGTTCTTGTCCCCTCTCTAGGAAGATTCTTGGCCCTGTTTCTCGGCTCCCAGTGTTCAGTGGTCCTTGTTTCCGTCCTAATCTGTGATATCTTCTTCTGCTCTCCAACCTCCTGCCCAGGTGAGGATTGCCTTCAGTATCCTCACATCCTCTTTGGTTCTTCCTGGAAATCTTTGCTCTGTGCCTGCAAAGAACCCCTGATAGCCTGGAAAGTAGGCCTACGTCCCACCAGTTCTTTCACCTCTTCTAGGATGGCTAACAACTCAAACTGTTTGCTTACAGAGATGTTTCTTCATAGCACATTCTCTGCAGATCACTGGAAAATCTTCTTTGCCTTTCCTCCTTGCTTGAAGTCGGATCTGCAGTCCCAGCCATCTTCTTTCCATGAGCCCTTCCCTTGCACCCTCTGGACCACAGGACTCCAGAGACCATGGGGCCCTGGGGGAGTTTAGCCATTCTGATTTGGATCTCCCACCTTGGGATGAGCTCTCCACATTGGTGAGTGACTGGAAATTCATAGAGCTTGCTAGGTCAAGACGATTAATGATACTTGAGATCCCATTCAGCCATCTACCCTGTTATGCTTATGTTTTCCTTTCCATCCCTCCTCCCACTCCAACCTTCTACACCTTGCTCTGTGAAACATTTTTTTTTTTAAATCAGATCTGTGATTTCATCTTTGTGTAACTTCTGGTGAGGAAACTCCCTCCACCAATGCAGATCTATCTGTATATCTTAGAGAGATGTCTGGGGACATTGAGAAGCTAAGTGGCTTGTCTAGGGTCAACATGGGTCAGGAGTGGGACTTGAACCCCGGTCTTTCTGATTTCAAGGCCAGATGTCTATCCATTCACTATGGTGCCTCTCAGATCAAATTAGTGCATCCAATACCAAAGTTGCTTCTGGTAAAAGCCTGCCAATGGATTCTCCCATGGCCACATTTACCATCCTTGTGGCTTCCCAGGCCAAAATGCCCTTCCTGGACTAGCATTCCCTTATATATGTTGTTTTGACCAATTAGAATGTAAGCTTTTTAAGGGCAAGGACTATACCATTTTTGCATTTGTATCTCTAGAACATAGTAAGTGCTTAATAAATGTTTTTCATTCATTCATTCATTGGTTTTAAATATCTTTCTTGGCAACCCTGCCACAGTCAGGACAAACTGATCTGGCTGTTAGCCATTCTTGGAGTTCAGTGACTGAGGAGGGGAGGCAAAATAAGGCTTAATTTATTTACAAAAGGCCGCTCATCTTCTCTAAATAGGTTAGTACCATTTACTTAACTTCCTTTGACTGGCACATTTCATTTTCCCAGCCAACCCAAGCACAAACAGAATTCCTCTAAGAGCAGAATCCAATTATCCATTAGATTTAAGTATCCATCTTGTTCCTCCTGGCTACTGAATTCTAGGGACAGCCCAGACAGTCCAGAGACTTCTCTGGCCACTTAGCTGTGGAAGGATCAGAGGGGACCTGGTGAATCCAGGATAATGTAACAAAAGACACAGAGGCTTGGCTAGGTACCACATCCTGGTTATGCTGTCTCAGGAACATTTACTAGTCAATCTGAGCCTCAGTTTCCTCAAATGTAAAATGGAGGGCAATAAGACGTGTGCCCCTTACTCTCTAGGGCCACTGTGGGGATCAGATGAGACAAAGTTGTGGAAACATTTTGTGGCCACACTGTGCTATGTTATTGCATGCTATTATTTGCTCATTACTACATAATTTCATCCAGATGTGAAACTGTATAAGAAGCCCCCCCCTCCTTCCCCTCCCCTCCATGCAGCAGCACATGAAACGTCTCAGCCAGAAGTTAGGGCTTTTTGCTCATATTCAGAATCCTATTATCAGAGACCATGGGGATGGATCAGGTCCTGAGTCTGCTGGGATAAATATACATTACCCCAACTTAGCTGCATCTTCTGGGAAAACTCAATTTTCTCGGGTCTAGTTTTTTTTTCCCAAAATCTGGCCAGAAAACCCCACCCTACCCTGATCCTGGCCTGGTCCCAGCCTGTATGGAGCTCTTGAAAGTGTCATGTTTCATCCTGTGCTGGTTAGCTCTAAATCTGGAATCAGAGCATCACAGAGCTGGGAAGGGACCTCAGAAGACATCTTGTCCAACGCCCTCAGTTCACAGAAGAGGAAGGTCAAGACTCACCTGAGGTCACATGGGTAATAACTCTCTGGGGTGAGATTTGAACCCAGGGTCTGAAAGGGTTATTATGAGGATAAATTGAGATAATATATGTAAAGTGCTAAACACAGTGCCTGGCACACAACAGGCACTTGTTAAATGCTTATTCCCTACCTTCCCCTCTCCCACCCCTTGGATTTGACCCTCCTACTTATGACTTGCATGACCTTGGATGTCTCTAACTTTCTGTTTCCTCTTCTGTAAGATGAGAGGGTTGGATTAGAGACGATTTCTAATGCCTCAAATCCCACAATTCTCTGGCCTCGTGATGCGGTCCCTCCGTTGCTGGCCAGCTCCCTTTATTCAGAGGCCTCCTGTGTGGGCCCCATCTCCTTACCTGATTCTGGAAGCCCATGGCAGGAATGTTGCACCTCACCCCAGCATCTTCTTCATGGTTGCAGCCCAGGTTCTCAACGTTGAATTTACAGTCAATGATGGATTTCTCGAACCCCGTGCACTGTATTTCATTGAGGTGGATGGACCCTATGCCTAGAGGAGGGGAATAGCAAAATAGTTGATAAGATCATAGGAACTAGGGAGAGCTGCATGGACTTGCAGAAGAGCAGGCTTCTCTCTTCCTCTCGAAGACCCCTCCAACTCCATCATTACTCTGTTCTTGGTCCAGGTCCATGATGCAGAGCAGTGCAATGGAAAATGTGGTGGACTTCGAGGTAGGAAAACCTGCGTTCAGATCTCACCTCTGACCCTTCTTGACTGTATGATCCCGGATAGGCCTCTTACCCTCCTTCTCTGAGCCTCAATATTTTCATCCGTAAAGTAGGGATGATAAAACAAGTAGGAAATATTGCAGAGGGTCGCTGTGATGCCTGGAAATGATTTTGTATCTGTTTTGTAATTAATTTTCTATACATATTGTTTTCCTCCAAAAGAATGCAAGCTCCTTAAGGGCAGGCACCATTCTATTTTTGTCTCTGTAGCTCCAGCACCTAACATACAGTAGGTACTTAATAAATGCTTGATGAACAAACAGGCTCATAGGATCTAGAGACAGAAAGAACCTTGGGGATTATCTAGTCAAACTCCCTCCCTTCACAGATGAGCTAACTGAGGTCCAGTGACTTGCCTAAAGTCAAACAACTACTAAGTGTCAGAGGTGAGATTTGAACCCAGGCCTTCCAGACTAAGTTCATCGTTGTCTAATGGGTGGGCATTTGCCTCATCTTACCAGGGCCCAGGCCTCTACAGCACCCCTCTCCCCGCTCCAGGCCAGGCCTCCTGTCCTCAGACCATCCATCGTCTCTACTTTTTCCTCACTAGTGACCTGGATTCTGCCCGTGATCACTTTTTCCCTCCGAGAGGGAGCTTTGGGGGTCTTCCTCGGGCCCAGGCCCCTTGACACTTCTTCACCTTCTCCACGCCACACTAGGAATGTGCCTCGCCCTGCCCCAGCCTCTTCCTGGCTTCCTTCACGTGGGGTCTTCCCTCATTGAAGTGGAAGTCACTTGTCTGACTGCTCATGTAAGATTTGCTGGATCGTTCCAAGTAACCACAGGTGTAGGCCAAGGCTGGGTCTGAGTGCTCTTCCTTCTCTGCACACACTCCTTCCCCTCCTTTCCTTTTCTTTTCCTCCCCCTCCCTTCTCCTTTCCTTCCTCCCTTCCCTCTCTCTCCCTCCCTCCTCCTTTCCTCCCTTCTCTTCCTCCTTCATTCCTTCCTTTCTTCCTTCTTTCTCTCCCTCCTTTCCTTCCTCCTTCCTTCCCTCCCCTCCCTCCTCCTTTTCTTCCTTCCTTCCTTCCTTCCTTCCTTCCTTCCTTCCTTCCTTCCTTCCTTCCTTCCTCCCTCCCTCCCTTCCTTCCTTCCTTCCTGCCTACCTACCTACCAGAATTGAGAAGGCTTACAGGGATAAAACACATTCAGCACATGTAATTTTTTAAAAGACTGGGACAAAATGGTGAAAGAAAGAGGACCAGCAGATGTTCCCTGGCACCTGGGCTGAGCTGGGTCTTACACCTGGGCCCCAAACTTAGCTCTACGGATACTTGTACAAAGTCACTGCTTCAGGCCGTGTACTGTTCGCTGTCTGCTAAAAGGAAACTTTCACATCCATTTGCAAAGACCAACTTTTTTTCTGGCCCTGAATTCAAAAGTGTCCCATAAGGGATATTGGATACCATATAATAGGCAAAGATTTTGTCTATAGTTGTAGGCAGTGGTTTTGACAAGTACCATACAAAACAGTTCTACAAATAGCTGCTTTCAGTGAATGGAGAAGCAGCTTGGCCCTGTGTCTACGGTGACAGATGTGGAAGCAGAAAAGTCTGGGTTTGTCAGAAACTTACTATCTGGCCTCCGGGCAAGCTTCCAAATTGTCTCAGCCTCAGTTTCCCCATCCGTTCATGAAGATAATAATACCGGTAGCACTCATGACATTGTTGTCAGGATCAAATGAGATAAGCAATGTGAAGTACTTTCCAAAACCTTAAAGATTTATAGCAATGTTGGGAATTTCCCCAATGCCTTTGCACATAGTAGATGTTTTTAATAAATCTTTGATGACTTTTGCCAAGTTGGTTGGCTTTGGTTTTACTCAATAAAATCTATTGGGAGATAAGACGCATTGAACTATTAGAAGATCTCTAAGTTTGCTTCTAGCATTAATATTCCAGGTTCCTGGTGGAACCTAGAACCTTACTCTGGGCAGTAATGGAGAAAAGCTACTGTGCGATGACTTACAATGATGAAACCGTAACCAGTGGACTCCAGTGCAAGAGACGGGTGAGTCAGGACCCAGCCAGATCTCCAACTTATTAGGGAACTATTTGCTTGCATACTCCAAAATATCTTTCTGAGGATCCCTGAGTAAGAGCCTACCAAAAAGGAAAGGAGTCCAAGGGCCTCTCATACCACAGCCCCCAGTGTGAAATTCATCGACATCATCATCATCATCATCATTATAGATAGGAGCCATTATTTCCTTCATTTTACACATGAGGAAACTGAGGTAAAGGAAATTTGAGTGGCTTGCCCAGGTATAAATAAAGTAATTGGAGGGCTTGGGGCCTTTTGTAAGCACTTGAGCTGAGCTTTGGAAGAAGCTCGGGCTACCTCCAGGGATGTATGAGGTGAGGAGGGTAAGTGTTCCAGCCAAGAGAATTAATAGACCGGGCAAAGCGGGAAGACAGAATATCACATGCAGGGTGAGAACACAGAGTCATTGGTGAGGGACAATGTGAATCAACCTGGGAATGTGCAACGCAGAAGCCAGGAGGTCAAACTCTGAAGGCCAGGCAGAGGAGATTGTATTTTACTCTAGAGCAAACAGAACCACGAAACCTTTGAGAGGTGAGTGACATGAAGACATTTACCATGGATTTACCATGCATGTTTCCATTGCCTATTGAATCCCCTGCACTTTTGATTCTTCTGGCATTAAGGAGTTCCCTGACCCTCAGCCATATGATATCAGTCAATCAACGAGAGAGAGAGAGAGAGAGAGAGAGAGAGAGAGAGAGAGGGAGAGAGAGATCAGCCACAATTTTCTACCAGACTGTATGCTCCATACATAAATTTTTAATCTTCCCAGTCAGTACTTAGGACAATTCAAGAATCTAAGGCAGCCTGGGTCTACCCTGACATAAGTCACAGCCTGTCTACAATCATAGGGTTCTTGGGTGTTACAGAACTAGATAGAGATAGAAAGTATATCTGAGAAGACATTTATTCTAACACCCTCATTTTACAGATGAGGAAACTGAGGACCAAGAAGATACAGTATCAAAAATAATAATTAAAAATGATAATAATAACTAGAATTTTTACAGTTCCTACTGTGTACCAGGCACTGTATTAACTTTACAAATATCATTTTATTTGATGGAGACGGAAATGGCAAACTACTCCAGTATCTTTGCCAAGAAACCCCCTCCCTCCAGACAAAGTTCATGGGTCACATACAGTTGGACACGACTGAACAACAATAACACTTTATTTGATCCTCAGAACAACCATGGGACATAGGTACTGTTGTTATGTCCATTTATCAGATGAGGAAACTGAGGCAAACAGAGGCTTAAATGACTTGCCCAGGGTCCCTCAGCTAGAAAGTGCCTGAGGATGGATTTGAACTCAGTTAATTGAGGCTCTGAGATATCAAGTTAACCTGCCAAGTGGCACACAAGTGATGGGTGTCAGAGGCATGATTTTAACTCAGGCTTTCTTGATTCCAAGCCAGGACTTAGCCCATTGTGACATAATGTTCAGCTGATGTTTCATAAATGGTTACTTAATTGAGTTTTTTGACCCACCGTTCTGGTTTGACCTCCAGCTTCTGAGCTCCCTGGGTCAGGCTCATTCCCCAGAGAGACTCCCAGCCCTGCCCTTGGCCAAAATCCTTTCTCTGGGCCTGGCCTCCAGCCCTGACTTCCCAGAGCACTGAAGCCCTCTTCCTGGTGTGGCAGATATGGAGAAGAGAGTCGGTAAAGTCAAGAAAGAAGCCGTGTTTCTCTGGAACCATGATGCCTCCTCAGGGACCAGCTGGAACCAATCATTTCAAGTATCCATCCCAGTTATGAGAGATGCCACTTCTCTTGCCAAAATAAAAAGACGTATTTTTTTTCTTCTAAAGAAACACATCTCACTCTTTAATGCTGATATCTCTCATAGGGGCAAAGGATAAATAATAATAAAATAATAAAACAAGCTAGTTCTCCATAGAGAGGAAGAGGGCCTGGTACATCAGCTCTTCCCAGAAGTTGCCCCTCTCCACAACATAGCCCCGATTTGTCCCAAGTTCTCTAGTCCTGAGGCCCTAAGGAAACCTTGGGCTGCTTGGGAAAGAATTAGGTCAGCCTGCACACACCCTCTGGAAGCTGACTTCTCTCTGCCCCCATAGAATGTTTATCTCAGCCGAGGAGCCCTTGCTGACTCCTCACACCAACGTGGACCCTACCCTGCAGGTCATGGGGCAGCAAGAAGCAACCAGCCATCGAGGGAGAAGACAATTAGGGAAGCCAACAGAAAAGACCCTCAGAGGCTTGGCAGAGTGGGGAACAGCGAAGGGGAAAATACTCTGCTTTGTCACCACCTTTAAGGCCCGTCTCCTACATGAAGCCTTCTCTGATTGCACCAGTTGTCAGCGGCAGCCACCCCTACAAGGACTTTGCATTTATTTTATATACATTTGTATTTATCTGTGTATATGTTGTGCCCCGCCTGCCCCTAGAGAATATAAGCCCTTTGAGGGTAGGACCTTTTTGGGGTTTTGGTTTTTTTGTGTCCCCAGTGGGATACACAATGGGTACTAAGAAAATTTGTGACCTCACCTATCTAATGGGTGACCTATTTCTTGCCTTCTCAGTGGGTGGAGGAGGGGTGGAAGGAGGGAAATGGAAAAAAAAGTCAGAAATTTAGGGCTTAGATACTGTACTTCAGCCTTCTTCACTTCCCAGGTAGGGCTCAGAGAGGTCATGGGATTTTAGACTTAGCAGAAAAGGACTTCAGAGATCCAGCCCCCTCAACTTACACATGAGG